CATGGGTGTGATGTTTGATACATTTTATTCAGTTTATTTAGCAAATGTGCTTCCATTTCCCATTTTTCACATAAACCCTTTTTCCAGTCCAAAACCAGATCTCAGTCTAACAGAGCAGCTTTAGGATATGCTGGAATGTGAGATTTGTAGGCTATCATGGATGTGCAGTCAGCAAATCTGCAGCAGCTTCATGATGCTATCGTGTCTCATTAGCCAGAATCTCAGAGAATTTTTTCCAGCTTCTTGTCGAATCTATAATGAGAAGATTTAATGTGGTTCTGAAGGCAAAATGGGGTCCAACCTGGTACTAGCAAAGATCTGCAAGTAGGTTTTAAAGGGATAGTCCTCCCAAAACTGAAAATTCCATCAGCATTTGCTCAGCCTTTGCTTGTTCCAAAACGATTTGGCTTTCTTTCTTCTGTTGAGCACAAAGGAAGACGTTTTGAAGAAAGCTGTAAACTTGTAACCATTGACTTTTGTAGTATTTGTTTTTTCCTACTATAGAAGACAATAGACACTAGTTTTCAGCTGTCTTCAAAATATCTTCGATTTGGTTATAGGGTAGATAGGATCGAAATAAAGATAGGATTGGAACCCTGAGAATGAAAGATCATATAGAGTATATTTAGATTTTTGGGTGAACTATCCCTTTAAATCAAACATTTGTTTTCAGGAATCTTCAATGAAATGACTTTTTCATGATTGTAATTTTGAAATCTTCCCATTTGCTTTTCTTTTGTGTAAGTAATCGTATTTGAATTGAGATTCAAACCAAGAAACAATGAATCACAAATATCCTACATGGACTTGGTGTTGATTATATTACCATAGACGAGTGAGCTCTTGAAGAGCCTATGAATAATTGCCACTTGACTACAGTCTCTGTCTCCTTGGAGGATTGAAGAAAAATAAATGCGATCTGAAGTCCAGATGAGTCATATCTAAAAGAAACTGAAATTGTTCCTTCTCACAGCGGTCTTGCCATTTAGCGGATAGATTAGCTAATGCGTTGAGGCTAAATAAAGAATTTGGTAATTCCATAAAGTCTTAGCAAGTTATAGCATAGGCCCTGTTTCCAATCATGTTCTTATTAAAGGATTAACTCAGCCAATGAAAATTCTGTAATCATTTACTCACCCTTCAATTGTTCCAAACCTGTTTAATTTTCTTACTTTTGTCAAACACAAAAGAAGATTTTTTAGAATGCTGGAAATCTGTAACCATTGTATTTATTTTTTCTACTACAGAAGTCAATGGTTATCATCTTTCTTCAAAAGATCTTCTTTTGTGAATAAAGAAACTTCTAAACAACTTGAGGGTCAATAAATTCATAGTAAATTTTTGTGTGAACTATAAATTTAAGATGTCTTTTTGTTAATTTTTTGACAAGTTCATGGCACTAAATACATGTGTAAATGGGTTTTTAAATGTTTTGTGCTTGTGGACTTACAAGCAGTTCCAGATGTAGTCGAAAACTAATTTGAATATGGATTACTTTTGTCCAGCAAACACTCATGTGGTTTTCTGTGCAAACACAAATGTATTTAAGCAACCTTAAAAGATACCTGCTTTCTACCTACTGACTTAGCATTAAAACATTACTGGATGAGTTAAAGTGTACTAGCCACACGTTTAAATGTAACCTTTTAAAATCATAAGTGAAGCGTTACGAAGTAATTTCAAGAGGATCACGTGATTGAACACAGCTGGTCTTACATTAACAATCATCAATAAACCTATCAGACGTTTCCAACCTACATAAATAGCCCTTTTTTCGACCTCTCTTTTCTTTGTTTTTGTAGAATCTCCCCATCCACCCCATCTTACCCTTTTCCTCTTATACCAGGGGGAGCTCTCGAGACCTACCTGATCTCGGACCCCCTTCTATACTAAATGACCAGACGGAAACCCTGGGCCAAGTATCTCCGAGCTCAGGGTACTCTCCCAGGACAGCATGGCAAACCTTTAGTAAATATCTAGCATTAGCTTCAAAGTTTGGTTTGAAGTCAAGACATTAACAAAAGTGATCTTAATTCCAACACAAACCAACAGAGAAGTTTCAACAGAAGCTCAGTAACATTCAATCTTTTTCCTAGAGACTGTTTAGACTACCATGTCACTGATGAGAAGATCAACTCTATGCTGACTGAAATCATCAAATGGCCTTAAACAGTTACTAAATGCACTTAAGAATGTTTCATTTTCAAATACATGCACATATGTTACTGCTTTACGAGCTTGGTTTGCACTGCCAACTGAGTTGTAGTTTGTTGGTCAGGGTTCAAATGGCATTTTAAGTGTTAACATGTTTTCACAGCTAGATTTTTGCCAATTAGGTTATACAGATTTTCCTCCGCATGTATACACATCAATCTTAAGCTGCATTTTTAATTTGCAGGGTGTACGTTGGATTAAGGTTCACAGCATAATACACGCTACTCATTATTTATGAGCAGACATGGGTCGGTATAGGATTCTAGCAGTATAATAACCTTGGATAAAAATATCACTAAAGTGTGCATCCAATGGATGCTGTGTACTATCCCATGATGCACAGTGAGAGAATTTATGAATGGGAGTAAAGCAGGTATGTCATGTGATGATAACAAAATGGCATCTGTAGTACATCCAAGTTCCATTCATACTTCTCATGTTCATATTGTGTAGAGCGTATTTTTCTTGGTCGAGTAGTAAATTCAAATTCAACTGCAGTACCTACTGAGTAGTAGGCAATTTCAGACACAGCCAATATGTTTTATTTTAAAAAACATTTGTAAATATTTTGGAACATTAAACATATATGGATATATCATCTCCTGGAGATACTGTTGTGCTTTAAAAAAAAAACAATATAAAACCTTACATATACCTTAGGAACGGTATAGCCAGCCTGATCTCACGAGAAAACATAAGTATTTTAAGTTTTGGCAGTTTAGTGGCTAATTTGTACAAATTCGTACGAGTTCAGTCGTAAGAAAATGTAAGATTTTAAAAAGTAGGCGTGGCACCTAACCCCACCCCTAAACCCAACCGTCATTGGGGGATACGCAAATCATACTAAATGTACAAATTAGATCGTACGAATTTGTACGAATTAGCCACTAAATGAAAAAGTTACGAATTGCTGTGAGATTGTGTTGGTATAGCAGAAAATATTGGTGGTTTTAAAACCTTACATTTTTCCAAAACCACGGTATACCTTAAAAACGGTTATCATCCCATGCCTATGAGTATTTTTAGAAGGGCTAAATTTTTGTCATACCTTAAGTAGTATTGAGCTCATATACTTTTACTCTACTTGCAGTAAATGTAATGATACTTTTACATGATTGAGATTTATTTTTATTTGATTTTTTTCAGAATTCTTCCCACCACTACCAGTACAGTCAGTTTATTTAGTGTTACTCACTGCAGCAGCTGTTTGCTTTGCTTTGGCTTTATAGGCCACTGTATAAGGAATTATTTTTGGGTATGTCAAATTTTACTTCATTTGTTACTTATAGCATCCTGCACCCACTAGTATTTTTTTTTTTTTTTTTTGGTTTGACTGTATATTGTGCAAACTTATTCATGAATTTTGGAATATTGCATCAAAAGTGCATACATATTATAGTTATTCCAGAACTGTGGGTACATTTTATGCATTAATTTGAACTGCAAACATATACAACAAATGTATCATTTACAGCAAACCAAATAAATTATTAATGTAAAATACATCAAATACAATTCTTACATCTGATAGCGAACATTTGATTCGATTACTGGTGTTTAACTTATTAATTGAAAAAAAAAATACTTTTGCTGCTTGTTTAAACTACTTATTTAAAATGAGTTGAAACAACACAATTCTTAAAGTTTTTTGGGGGACAACTTAATTGTTTAATGTTTATTTCACTTAAATTAGAAAAACGATTAAGTTAACCTAATCGATTTGTGTTGGGACAACATGATGGAATTGTGTGGTACCCAGCATTGTTTACAGTCATTTAAAACCATAACAGTTAACAACAATCATTTTCCACCATTTTGTGCTTTATTTTAAGATGATAAGCTCAAACCAGACACCACATGGCAGTCTAAAACCAAATTGTATGTACTTTTTTCATAGAATTGCTTTTTTTGAATGTTAATAAGAGTTTCACAGAAATCTAAATAATATTTGACATAATTAACCTTCTATTGGTATATCCTAAAATTTTTGCACAAATTAATGAAAAAAGAATAATGTCATATATCAATGCCTTCTAGAGTTTCACTTAAAGCAAGTCTATGAGCACTTTAAATATTGTCATAAAATGAATGCAAAGACATTTCATTCATTCCTTTTCTTGTCAGCTTAGTTCCTTTATTAACCCGGGGTCGCCACAGCGGAATCAACTTATCCAGCACATTTTTATGCAGCAGATGCCCTTCCAGCCGCAACCCCATCGCAAAGACATTTGTCACTTGTTTTTTTTTTCATGCATTGTATCGTTGTTCTGGAGTGATTCAAGTTCATATGGCTTTTCCAAGGTTAATATGAGTGGTAATTTGCACCTTAAGGAAATTATTATATATATATATATATATATATATATATATTTTTTTTTTACTTGCATCATTATTTGTTTATGTACTTTATCCCACTTTGCTTTTTCCCCTTATTCAGTTTATTTAATGTGAACTGTTCGCTTTTACTGTATTCTAAGTTGTATTGCACAGTTAACCAGAAAAACCAGAGGTGACCAGAGTGAAGAACTCAATGTCTGAATAAAAAAGTTTTAAGCTAATATTTTATGACGAAATATCCAATTTTTATTTTATTATTATTTATGACACACAAACATTATTTTTTAGAGATACAAATTGTTATTATTCAAAATAATTTCATTAATGTTTTCAAAAAATTATAGATTTATCTTGAGAGAACCTCAAAGAAATGAGGAAAGGAGTCCAATGTGGACAAAATAGGCTCATCCTAATACCAGATATTTTGTCCTCGTTCTTTGTTCCTGCAGATTTACCTGAAGGAGATTCTTCGTGAAATTGGAGTATATAATTCCAGAGGGCCTCATAAGAGCACATGGGAACTAAAGCCAGAGTATCGGCACTATCAGGAGGGACAAGAGGAGGAGAAAGAGGCAGAGAAAATGGAGTAATCCCATGTAAAAACTTGTGTTGTGTTTAGTTTATTGCAACTGTTGTTTCTTTCATACAAGATTTGTATTAGTTCATTGTTCTTTTCCAATGATGTCAGTATATATATAAAACAGAATTGTTTTTCTTGAGTTATATAACCTAAGTGTTTCTTTAAGAGCATTATGAAATGAATACTGTAATTTGCATATGACTCTTGTATTCCTTGAGTTGAGTGCACTTGTGTTGTGGTCCACAGGAGCATATTAATAACATTAATGAAAATGCAAACACCCTTTGGAGATTTATTTCTCCTTCGGTTTAATAGTTTATATAACTCCTGTCAGTAACAATTCCGATGCTGCACAATTTAACAGATGGGCAGATATAATTATACAGAAGAGACATATCACACAATACCGCATCCAGGTCACACTAGAGTTGTTAGAAGAAAAATATATATTTTATTAAGTTGAAGCCTATTTTAGGACCATTAGATTTTCAGTATTATTGGAAAATTCATTAACATAATGCCTTTTAGCTTTTCTGCAATTAGCATTATTTTTTCTCAATAGTGTTTACTCATGACGCTAATTTGTTTCAATTTAAATAAGCACTGAGGCAACACACAAAATACTTTGTATTTAACATCTTGAGGGTTGAATTAATAATGAGCATTTATGGATAAATAATTGTATGATCGCAAAATCTTTGAAGTCAAATATTTCTTACCAGGTTTCCAATATATTTTGTCACCCTCTAATACATAATTTTAAAATACAAACCTAATGTATAGACAAAACAAAACACAGTGTTATTGGAAAGAGAATTTTAAAAGATGCTACACTATTAAAAAATTCAGGTTTTATTTTCCCCCATTTATTTATGCTTTTAAATAGGATTACGAGACCTTAATCTTTCTTTGAACAATATTTAATCTTGAAAAGTTCAAAAAAGTTACTTCTATTAAGATTTTTAGTTGCTTAAAGTGCTATATTCAGGGTTGGTGTTGTATATTACAGTACAAAATCCTTGTAATAAACTGCCAGTACATTTTCTGTTATTTTAGACGTATTTCTCTCTATATTATTTCTTATATATTATTTTAAACTATTAAAATGTCAATAAAAGTCACTTTGTTAAACTGCAGAGTTGAATTTTCAACTTCAAAAGTCAACAGATTAACGTCCCACAATTCACAACTGTAAATAAATAGAAAACACATGTGAATCACAAAGTATCCAAAACGGAAATGAACAGGTATTAGGTTCCCTAATAATGATAATATACAGTTTAAACTAATATGTTCCATATAATATATATTTTCAATGTGTATTTTTTGTTTTAGCGGTTAATCCTAATTTAAGTGTCAGATGATCCTTCAGAAATTGATTTGTTCAAGAACATTGCTGATTATTTTACCAATTACTAATCAATATAGCAAACAAACAATGGTATCACTTAAGATTTCATTAGGATTTTTTAAATAAATTAATGCTAATGGATACTTCTCAGGCATGGATTGGCTAATTGGGAGTACCGGGCGAATTCCCGGTGGGCCGGTCCGTTTTTTGGCCGCGAGGGCCGGTGTCCCTAGCTGCTTGCAATCTCAGCAGTCGCACTTTTTTCATTTATTTATTTACTTGACCATAGCCTTTACTCTTTTTATTCAGTATTTTGCCGCAGCTCCACTCTTTTTATTTATTTTCTCGCAGTCCTGTGAGCAAAATGCAGCCTGCAGGTTAATGATAACAGCGGCACCTTAGCGAATACAAGAATTTGAATAATTAATATGAATGAATATTACACCTGCTCAATGAAAATCAGATGATTCACTACAATAATAAATCTGACATAACCTGATCAGAAATCTAAAAATGGGAGAAAAAGTTTAAGCCATAAATAGAAAGTAACACTGTGGTAAAGAGTCTTGCAGGTAACAATGCAATACTTTTTATTCCGAAGGCAGCAGCATTATACCGCCATTGTGGTCCAGTGGTAAGCACCACCGACCCAAGTTCAAACCTCACCTAAATTATATATATATATATATATATATATATATATATATATATATATATATATTTTTTTTTTTTTTTTTTTTTTGTGTTAAGACATAATACTGTATGGGTTACTTATGTACATGTACATATTTTATTTTTATTGTGACCACCTTTACAAAGGACTGGATTTGTATTAAGAATTTAGCACAGAATAGGCTGTTTAATCAAATATTGCAGGAAGGGACATTGTGATGTTTTAAAGCAGGGGTCACCAAACTTGTTCCTGGAGGGCCGGTCCCCTACAGCTTTTAGCTCCAACTCTAATCAAACACACCTGAACAAGCTAATCAAGTTACTAGGTATACTTGAAACATCCAGGCAGGTGTGTTGAGGCAAGTTGGAGCTAAAGCCTGCAGGGAAACCGGCCCTCCAGGACCAAAATTGGTGACCCGTTTTAAGTAGTGTTGCAGATTTAGCTACACTTTAATGTTCTCATATTTATGAAAACATTTTAAGTTCTAAAGCAGCTGTTTTCTTAAAAAAAAAAAAAAAACATGATAGTGTCATTAGAAAATAAATTGGAAATGACATTGTTTTACTTTAGTCAGTCGTGAACTGAGGTGGGCCGGTATAAGGCTTGAAATGCCAGGGCTAAAAAGGAGTCTCACTGTGTGGCCCTGTAACTTCTCTATCATTGACAATCAGTTTTAATCACATTCGCTTCTTATAATAGAAAATTCAATTGATTTATAACTAGTGACAATTTAAAAAGTATAAATGACTTCTCCATTTCAATACATTTTACAATGTTTTTCATCAGTGTCCCATGAGGTCACCGAAATTGATAATCTGATTTGTTTAAGAACATTAATCTACCATTTACTGATCAACATGCAAACAGGGTTTCATAAAGTGAAACTTAAGACTTTAAGACCTTTTTCAGAACATAATGAAATTTTAGACTTCTACAGTCACACACACACACACACATGTATATATACATACATTCATATGTATATATGTGTATATATATATATATATATATATAAATAAATAAAATGGTTTTTAGCAACATTTTGTCTCAATGCAAGAAAACTAGCGGTCTACACCATTTTTTTAAATGTTTTTTCTTTTAAATGACAAGTTTACCATTGTTATAAGTACATTTGTTGCAGAAGCAATTACATAATCAAAAATATGCTTTTGTTGAATTTTGGTCCAAATTGATGGAGTAGAACATCTTTAACCTAATACAATTCTGTTATGAAAACTTGTTTCATGTTTATATAAAAATGTCTACTCTACTACTAATAGTTTTTGTATTAATAATAATGTTAAATATTAAATTGCTATTATCACGAGTAACTGTAATTGTTTTACGTTTTCTTTCCCTGATTTTATTAAGATGGATTGTTGGTAGATTGGATGGATATCAGCTCCATTGGGTAGCTTTACGTGGCCAGAGGAATATTAAGACCGGTTTAAAATGATTTAAGACACACAACACAATACTGCAGTTAATTTAGGACTAAGGCCTAAAATTGTGTTTCTGAAATTAAAGACATTAAGTCGTTTAAGACCCTGCAGATACCCTGAAACAGTGCCACTTTTAGGTTTTATTAAGCTTATTTGAACTAATACAACATTATAAAATGTATACTTTTCCCCCTACTGTATAAATGTCAGTCTCAGAGGAAAAACAACAACCACAACTTTTAACAGTGTTCATAAAATGGCTTCATAAATGCATATAAACATTACCCAGATGCAATTAAGCTGCAGGCATTAAACATTATTAATTGGGGAATAAAAGAAAAACCCACAAAACTGCAGCATTCATGGTTCGGGTGCTCTGGTGGATATTTATTATGTAATAGAAAAATAAATCATAGTAGAGAGCATTAGATGACAACATTAATGCACGATTACACACCAAAAACCACACATGTACATTTGTGTTCATCTGGGCTTTCTCTCCCAGCTCGCTCTCAAGTGTGAAAGTCATGTGTGGTAGGTGCTGTAGGTGTGAATCTTATTCCATCACCACCTTCATACTATTTTTTTTTTTCCTCCAGCATTTCGGCCCTCCACTGTTATCTTCAGATTGCTGGATCAGCCCATGCCATCTGGATTTATGGTTTACAGCCTGCGAAAAAAATGGAGAGAAAAATCGGTCAAAAATAAGAGTCTTCAGACCTTAGAGATTACAAACCTACATGAAAACATGTGCTCAGGTAATACATGCGATTATGTACTTTCACTGGTCGTGACCTCAGCAATTTTTAGTCATCATTGCACATCAGCTTGACATTCACTTGTTGCTAAACTATTTGCAATAAATGCACATTTAAGATAGTCGCAAGCATCATACCTTACAATCCTTTACGATACATTATTATTTTCTGCTTTGTGTGCCACAGCTTGTATTCATCCAGGATTTAATGCTATAAACCAAAGGAGATAAAAACAGCATTAATCTCATTCACCAACATGTAAACCGATAGGTATAATATCAACCATAAATGCATATTCATGAGGCAGAAGGGCTCTTGACATAGCGAGCACTCATATGCTAATGCAGTACCTGATGGACAGGTAACAGCCGCCTTCTGCATGTTAAACGCACTCTCATTTAATGGGCATCTTTCCTATGCTCTCCACAGATGTACAGACCCCGCAGAGAGCAACCGGCCCACGTCCACACTCCTGTGGCACATCTGAGGAAGAGGAGGGTCAATTAGTCGTCATTACTCGATATACATTTAATGCTCATAACGGTCAAAAACTAGCATAAATGTTAGTAGAGCAACACTTCAACTAGGTCAGGGGTTCCCAAATTGTGCCAGTGACCCCCAATATCCTCTGAGGTGGTTATAAATATATAAACCTTGCATACAACGGCCAACACATACCAAAAGGCCCAAGTTTATTCATGATTTAAATGAGGAACACCACTCGGAGACCATCCTCCATGTTCAGTTGTGGCCTGTATTTATTTTTAATGTACACGAGAGCCATAAAGGTGTCAAAATCAATGTGCGGTCTTTTTGATATAATGTAGTCACACCAGGGGTCACAAAACAAATGTAAAGGCTGAGAGCTTATTATTTGCACATTGTTGTTATTTTATGTAACTAGTAACTACTATTTATTTATTTTTTTACTTCTGTAGGTTACGAATAAAATATGATAATTCTAATAGGTTAATACAAAGAATTGATTTTTGAAAATTACAAATCTACGGTGTATTTTTCCTACTGCAACCCCTTCTTTGGGAACCAGATCAGTCTAGGTCAGTGTAATACATTTAAAACATGTGCAAGTAATAAAAAGGGAGTTCATTGGAATACAAGCTTCATTGGAAATTACACGGACAATGCAGTAGTATTTACTATACTAAAAACTTATACCAAGTACAAAACATGGTATATTACTAAATTACTTTAAAAGAAAAAAAAAAGTCATTAATTATGTTAATAAGGAACTAATAACATTACACTTAGCTCATAACATGATAAATTAGCCAAATAATTCAGAAACAAACATAACTGCATGCGAGGCTTGTAATGCGCCTTTTTTGGGGGGGCAAATGAATTTGCCCTAAATATTACCCCAATTACAGTGCTAAATACTATTAAAAAGGAGAAAGTATTTGAATATGTTTAACGGTCATTTTATTTTAGCTTATACAATGTATATTTGCTTGAATTGAGGTAAAGTTGGTTTTATACTTGCATGTTCAGGCTATAATTCAATATAATTTCAGAAATGTTTTCACTGCTTTTAGCCACCAAAACAAAACATTGTTTAAAATAATAAAAAAAAAAAAACTGCACAAAATGTTGTTTAAGCCACACTTGCAATTTCAGACAGACTATTCAAAGTTGAGTGTTGAGTTCTTACTGTTAAAAATAAACAAACGTGTGCAAAATTTACCTCATTTTTGCACAAACACAAATGTTTGATAACTATTTTGTAAAACAGCTCCGTGTTAGAAACTTAGGGTATCAACATTTGCATGATCAAAATAATATATATATTTTTTTGTTATCAATATTTATGGGCAGTTTTTATGTTGAATTACTAAACGTTAGCTGAAACAGAACCGTATTATAAGAAATGCTAAAAAAAAATCTTCTGTTAACCATGAGGTAAAGACAAAGTAAACATGTACATCTGACCAAGCCAAATATATTTTTATCAAGTCGTTTTAATGGTTCATGATGCTCGTGGCATGGTGGTGGTGAACACGTGTTAGGCCACCACAAACCCTGCACAATGTAACATTAACAATCTATAGGTCAACTCTAAATCTACATGCGTCTAAAATCATTGAAGTTTAGATTACCTTGTATGCTGTCTTGATATATCATTGTATTGTACTGTAATTTGGTCAGTGATCTCATAAGTTTGTCTCTGCTGCAGGAATTGCGTCTGTTTCTTCCAGCTATTCTTCGAGAAAGGCTGAGACTCACGCTGCTCGGGTTTAAAAGCAGCAGGAAACGCATCACGCAACACTCTCCGCCCATCCAGTGGGCACGCGCGCCCTCTACAGGAGACAAACAACACACACTAAACTAGAGAATCTGAAGTCCTCAGGTAATTATTAATAGATTACAAGTGAATTCCGTTCAAATTTACATATATTAGTGAGATCTAAAATACCCAAGGAAAACTACATAATATTAATAAACAATTTTTGCCTCTTCCAGTGAAAAGCCTAAAAACTGACCAGGCTATCAACATGATTTCCCATCCTGTTTAACTGATTTAAGAGAGGGGTTGACAACTTTATTTGGCTGGTAAGCTGTGACAGCTGGTGTGAGACCAGCTAAAACCATACGAACACAAGCCTCATTCAAATGCTCAATTTTACCAAACACATACATGCCGCAAAACTCTTTTCATTCAACAATCCAACCTTCTGGCTGTAAGAAACACTTAAAAAGAAAAAGAAAGAACACTGTAGTCAATAACAAATGTTTTTTACAGATCAGCAGAGAAACAAATATGGTATCACACAAATCTGAGGAAAATTATATGAAATCAGCATGTACTTTGCAGTTTTAAAACAAACAACTGTATCTGATTGCAACTATCTGCAGTTTAAAAAAAAGCTTATCTTAGTGAGGTGTTGAACCGAGCTGATTGACATTACTCATGGCTCGAACACGAGAGATGTCAGTTGAAACAAAGGAGAAGTTTGTCAAACTTTTCAAAGGTAAATATTCACTGAATGTTGCAAAAGATGTTAGTTGTTTGCAGTTAGTTGTGTCTATATCTGGACTAAAATCAAATAGGAAGGTTGTAGAAGTGAAGAATACTGGTAGACCAAGGAAGACGTCAAAGCATCAAAAAGCAATATGCATTCAAAACAGAAAATGCACAACAAAGCAAATGAGGAACAAATGGGCAGAAAGTGAAAAAAGTGTGACCGGACTGTAAGAAATCACCTGAAAGAACTGGGATGTACATAAAGAATAACCATCAGTAACATGTAAACAGAAAAGAACAAGGTTTCAGTGCGCTGAAGAAAGGCAATCTTGGACTGCGGATGACTGGATGGAAGTGATATTCAGTAATGAATCACAAATCTGCATTGGGCAGGGTGATGATGCTGGAACTTTTGTCAGGTGCCATTCCAATGAAATTTATGACAACTGCCTGAAGAAAACATGCAAATTTCCCTAATCATTAGTGATATGGGGTTGTACCGTATGTCAGGTGAGATGACAGTCATTGTATCCTTTATAAATGCACAAGTTCATATTAAGATTTTGGACACTTTTCTTATTCCATCAATTGAAAGGATGGTTGGTGATGAAGACATACTTTTTAGGTTGATAATGCATCGTGCCATAAGGCAAAATCTGTGAAAACTTTCCTACAGGAAAGACATAAAATGTCAATGGGATGACCTGCAAATAGTCTAGACCTCAATCCAACTGAATATCTGTAGTGGAAATTTAAAAAAATAGTCCATAAGGATCCAACCTGCAAAGCTGATCTAGCAACTGCAATAAGATAAAGTTGGAGACAGATTGATGAAATACTGTTTAATCCACGCCACAGTTAATTCAATAAGTAAAAAGTCAGAGGGGGTGCAACAAAGCACTAGTGGTGTTTTTATTTGGTGATTCCATATCATTTTCCTCAGATTTGTGTGATTCCATATTTTTTTTCCTATGTTTGATATGTTAAAACAGTTGTTATTGACTACAGTGTTCTTTCTTTTTAGTGTTTTGTATGCAGCCAGAAGGTTGGATTGTTGACTGAAAATAGTTTTGTGGCGTGCATGTGTTTGTTTGTTTTGTCACACTTAAAGATTTTAATTAACAGAGTGGTGATTTTATACTTTTTGCCAGGGGTTGATGGTTTTAAAATGCCTAGCTAATATGGTCATGCTGGTTTTTACCTGATTGTACCTGGTCTCAACTTGCCTGCCTGCAACCAACTAAAAATGTTAAGAAAGCAAGCAAACAAACGAAAAAACTGCTATAAAACCATGACTAGATTGACTATATGACCTGTTTTCCAGCAGGGTCATCATGAAGAAGCCACATCAGTTCACTGAAGGAAATTATTTCATTAAACCCTTTTCACATTTCCAGTTTTCTTGGCAGTGGAAGTCATCATAGTTGGGTGAACTTAGAGAGCAGTCAATAGGGTTTTTTCTACGTTCCAATTTACTAAAATAACCTTTCAATTATTTTTTTTTTTGTAACTTGTTACAAACATGATATATAGTAGCTTTATGTGTTTTAAAAAATCTAAGTATTAAAAACTTTTAAGGATTTTAGAAGCTGATAACTGATAAATGCGTCATCACCATCTTGTGAAAAGGGTCCAGTAACGCTAAAATCTATGTCGCGAGGGATGACAAATGTTGATATTCCCATATAAAAATTTTTTACTTTGAATCTTTCATACTTTGACACTATAAGCTAAAAAAAAGCTTATTTTAACTTTGTCACACAGTACAGCCAATTGTGAATTTTTAGGTTTAGGTTTTTTTTAGTTTTTCTGAGAACTGAGTGACATAACCCGGTTTTAGTGATATTTAAGACAGCAGGAAAAAGTCAGAACATCAGTCGTCAGAATTGACACAGTATAGACACATTAGAAGTGGCTATTTCCTTTTCGGTGACAGATACAAACTTTGTTGTGATTAAATGACCAAGAAATATTTATTTTTTTTAAAAACTATGTAGTTTTAGTAATAATTTGGATCAGTTTTCATTATTATATACTACTATAATTTTGTTGTGCTTTTGCTGTTAACATTTTATTTTACAACAGTGTTTATTATAAATACAATGTTTATATAATAGTATCTTTTTCCTTTACTCCAGTTATCTTAATATTATGTGAATTAAAAATATAGCTTTTTTTTGTATTTTTACATGTTGTATTAAATGTATTATTTGATTGATTTATTGCAGATTATATTTATTGCAAGTAACACAAATTATTTTAATTGATTAGATTTTTATGGACATTTTGTGGTTGAGGTTGACCTGATAGCTAGAAAGGATGTTGTGATGAACTCCAGCAGGAATCATATCATTCCCAATATAGATGGCTGAGTAAACTTCACTTGGCATTGCTGTACGTTCTATCTTGTGTTTGTTAAAACCTCTCTAAGTCTGTGTTTGTTTGTGCTCGATCTGTTCACAGAGGCCTGTGCTGTGGGGAAGAACGAAAACCCTCTCTTTTCTCCTCAGAACAAATCTTCGTCCTTAATTTTATCCTTATCATATCCAGTGCTGCTGTGTTTGATCTGCTTTGATCCTATTTCAGAGTCATTCTGAGGTAAGAAACCACATCAGATCACACAAGAAAGTTATTTAGATTGATAATATAATATATCTAGCTTCATACATGTTCATACTTTAATGTGTTCTAAGCTAAAAAAATTGGATTAAACCATTAGCATCTCACTCTAAAAATTATATTTTCCTATTTAAGTTTGACTTTTGTAAATTGGAAAATGAAAAGGTGCTATTTAAGTTGATATATAGGAACTATACTTTTGTATTTTTTAAGGAAGATGCCCAGGATGCTAATGGTCAAATAAGTTTACAACAACTTTATTTATTTTTTCTTTTATTTTAACTCTTAAAACACATGTTAGTGTGTATCGTTTACATATTTCATTTTTTTCAAAACAGCAATGAATGCATACTACTATACCATTTAAACCTGATATTTAAAAAAATTACCAAAAGTGTACCAAAGCCTGACCGTTCAGAAGAACAGTAAGTTTGTTTATTCAGTTTGAAAAGTCTGTTGAGGTTGAGTAGGAAGAAGTAAATCTAAACCAAGTGTGCCCAATAAAGGTTGCCAAGCTTTCAAATTAATAGGAAATTTATAACAGATAAACATAAGCTGGCTAAAATAATGAACATATAGAAAAGTGTGTAAATATTTTGAAATATAATATAATATAATATAATATAATATAATATAATATAATATAATATAATATAATATAATATAATATAATTAATATAATATAATATAATATAATATAATATAATATAATATAATTAATATAATATAATATAGTATAATATAATATAATAGAAATAATATAATATAATTAATATAATATAATAGAGCTAAACTGAACTGAACTTAAAAAACAAAAACTGAACTACACTGTTCCAGTTACTATGACCATTTATGTGAAGCTGCTTTGACACAATCTAAATTGTAAAAGCGCTATACAAATAAAGCTGAATATAATATAATATACTATAATATAATAATTTAATATAATATAATATAATATAATATAATATAATATAATATAATATAATATAATATAATATAATATAATATAATATAATATAATATAATATACACACTTCATACACTGGTACATAAGACATACAAATACTTCAATGAATAACAATACACATCACGTCTTTGATTCTCTAACACACACGAAGTTTATGGATAAAGTTTGGCTTCTTAAATTCAAGGATTTGTTATTCAGTCCTGCTTCTGCTTTTATCACCAGCAGGTGGTGCTCTTCAACAAGCCTTAAAGATATAGTTAACCCAAACATTTAAATTCTGTCATCATTTACTCAAGTTCTTTTTTCTGTTGGACACAAGAGAAGATATTTTGAAAAATGCTGAAAACCTGTGACCACTGACATACATATTATATTTGTTTTTGGTTAAAGGTTTTTGTCTTTCTCTAAAATATCTTCATTAGTGATTGATAAAAATAAGGAAAATCATAAAGCTTTGGAACAACTTGATGATTAGTAAATAACGAGTAAATAATTTTTTGGGTGAACTATCCCGTTAAGTTCAGGGTTGCCAAGTACTCGGTTTTCATGTTTTTTCTCTTCTTTTGCATTATGATTTTGCTTTATTGCATAAATGACATTTACATTGTTGTGTTAAAAATATTGTAGTCTATCAAATATATCATTCTAGCATTGATTACAACTGTATTAGTAGTATGTTGAAAGTACACAT